AACTGAGCCGTTTGATCAGATAAGGGAGTGCTGAGGGTTAGACAGGCGGAGGAGGGTAAGACGGAGGATCCAACAACGATCCATCAAGCCTAAGACTGGGGCAATTTACACAACCCCTATCGCGGATAATTGTACACTAAATCCTGGTCTTATGTACCCACTGCGGGTTCTGACTGGGGTCCGTGGTAACCATGGAGAGCTCTGTTGAGAAATGACAATTAGCTCGACATTTGACTATTAAAATTATTTGAAAAAGTGCTATGATTTAGCCGTATGTTTCTTTCCCTTTTAGGAAATATAAATACCTTTTAAGTACTTCTTTATAAAAGTCACAAAAAGTGTATATTTTTTTATTTATTCGGAAATTCAAAGGGCTTTGAGGAGAAGAGATATTCCAAGTTTCATTATTATTATTACATCCATTGAGAGGCTACGGTCGGGAGGGAAAAAGATTTTTCGGCTGCCGCCATGAAAGGAAAGATCAGATGATGATGGGTTCCGAGGATGAACCACGGGTGATCAATGTCATTGATCCCGAATCATAAAATAATTGCTTCACTAGTCTCGGAGAAAAACCTAAGATGGCGTACCTACTTTTTTTTTTTTAATCAAGCTTTGATTTTCACTAAATTTGAAACATGAAATCTCTAATTTTAATGTTTGATTACTTTTTTTCTTTATTCGTCAACTACACAGAATCATTCTTTAAAAAATAAATCAAAATTTAATCACATTTAATTTTTATAATATTTTTAATTTATAAATTATAACATAAGAACAATGCAATTGTTTCTGTTCAGTCCAGTCAAATATTCAATCGAGTAAGGTTCAGATAACCTAACTTATGGGCTTTAAATCTAGATGATATTTACTGAGATGATTATAACATGGTTGAGCCTGTTTTACATGTTGCTACAAATATGATGCAAAATATTTTAAGAGTTTTATTAGAAAAAAACGCTGCAAATTATTTCGCAATGGTTTATTATTTCCAAACAATTATAGATCAGTGAAAGTAACATTACCGTCCGAGTTACAAAGAAAAATAAATAAAAGGTGATTCCAATTATTTTTTTAATCATTAGTAGTATGCTAAAAAAAACCAAAACCAAAACAAAGGTTATACGCTTTGCAGTAGAACATATTTTAAAAAAACTAGAGACCATATCTTTGCTCCTAATTGTCCGATTTTAACGATTTTTTTTTTTTAGGGAATTCCGTAAACTTTTGAAAAAATATACAATATCGACAAAAAATTGTGTATCCTTTTTGAGTTATTCGGAATTCAATTTTACCATCCCTCGTAACTTTTTCCCAGTTTCTTTTCGTTGAAGTATATTATATAGATAAATTTAAAGGGCGTCGAGAAAATGACTTTATCGAAGTTTCATTGTAATCGGTACAATCGTCTTAGGTCTATAACAACGCAGGTTTTTCGGCCGCGATTTTAAAAATAATAGGCGGATATTAATGTCGATGAAGGAAGATCATCCTCGGGTGACCTCTGATTTTATATCTAAATATGAAAAAAAAAACGGTCCAGTAGTTTCGGAGAAAATGCGCAGACGGCGGAAGGACAAAAAAATTGTATTCGTTTTTCGAATTCTACGTATCCTGAAACGTAAAACCTCAAATTTTGAAAGCGTGTTAAGTTTTTTTTATTTTTTGATTGATCACAATGGTTCATTATTGAAAAGAATAAACCAAAATGTAGAAATTACAAAAGGCTACTTTTTTATTCTTTTAAAACAGTTTTATTCAGTTGGCATGGGTTTTATTGGTTTATGCTTGTATTATTGAATCATCCAGCACCTATTTAATAAAATTTTTTTATTAAAATCTATTCCAACCATTTCTCAGTTTTGAAATAAATATAAACAATATATTTGTAAATATCATATATTTTTTAGTATTTCTTAGATGAGTTTCGTAATCCTATATAATGTATTTTAAAATGATTTATCAAACATCTCTCTACCACGATCATTTGTAAAACTATGAACATTTTTTTGATAAAAAAGATGGTGAAATTTGAGATTTTCTCCAATTTTTAAACATCAATATTAAAAAACAGCTTAAGAAAAAAATATTCAAAACAATACATTTGTTGTATATTAAGATGGAATAATTAATACATCAAAAAAATCAAATGGAATGACCCAAATAGGATGTGAATCTTATTAAATATTTTCTTTGTAATGTAACGAAATGATAAATTGTTGTTCTGGTTTTAGCTTATTTTATCAACTAATGTATGTTATATATCACAATTAAAACGAATGAAAATTAGGAAAAATCAGCTTTATATAATAAAATAAAGCCAATAAGTACATTGGATTAGGAGGGCGCCGATTATTGGAGGTCAGTTACAATTTAGCTAATCCTACAAAGGGAGTGACCAAATGAACCGAAGGCGAGAGTGCCTGGCCCACAGCCCGTTAAACCAAGCTGCTCCACTAAGGCTCTTGATTAAAACTCAGGCTAGTTTTTTTTTTCTTTTTTTGTTTAGTCCCCATGGGCTCAGCTTTGTGAATAAATCGATTCTTTTGCAACAGCCTAAACCATTATGATCGATATACCGTTATCATAATAATATATTTTATTATGATTACGGTATTTATATTGCACCATGACCTATATTGCTACTATTATAGCATAGATTTAATATCTATGTATTTTGCTCTTTTCATTTTGAAACAATATGTAAAATTACATACAAATTTTCTAGTTGGTTATTCGTGCTACAAAGTATGAAAAAATTTGGTAATTTGAGAATCAAAATGACAGAAACATAAAATTATTTAAGTTTAGACAACAATCTTACAAGTTTAGCCACTTGCATACAACCCCACTCCTTATTTATAAAAATGCTTACTAACAGAAACATTCGTCGTTCTTCTCCTCTCTATGTTGCTCCATTAATATACCACTATTGGAAGAAAATAATATTTCACGGTACTGAACTATTTTTATCAAAGTACTAATGCTATGTATTCTAAAGACCACCTGTGGAGTTTACTTAATTATTTTAAATGCATAAATAAAGAAATATCATAAGTGCTCACATCTGGCGGTTGGGTACCTGAGTGAGGGTAACGACCCACGAGGACAACCTTTTGTAAGTGGTAATAAAAACCCTTAAGAACCACCGACCAAGACCGACAACTGAGTGTTTAACAGGATCCAAAAAGACCTTTCACACCTTCCACCAGAAATACGTAATATCTGTTACCTGCTGCTTTATCCTTGGCCTGGGGGAGAGGGCGTGGTCATCCCTTAGGCTAGGAATATTCAGCCAATCAGAAAAGACTACCAAAAGAGAGGGGGATGAAGAAAGGTGGGAAATAGAGAATTGGGACTGAACACTGAGAGCTGGGACACAGGCTGGGACTTGATCAGGAGAAGCGGAGAGAGGAAGATATGGACTGATAGCTGGGACTCAGGCTAGAAGACAGCCGGAGGGAGCAAGATGAAGACTTGAAGACCAGATCGACGGAGCTTCCAGAGAGGTAGCCAGAACAGCTAGAGATAACGACAACACCCCTCACCAGCTATGTAATAACCCTCATTGAGTTATACAGATGTAAATTTGTGTTGGCAACCATAAATCATTAATTAATAAAATCAATAGAACACATGTAACTCTAATCAAGCATTCTCCTCTAGTATGATTCTCAACGATTATTATGTATATAGGTTTGTTCATTATCATTGTATATATTTTGGTTATTTATATGTTATATATATGTTAGTAAACCATCTTGATGATTTTACATTCTACCTTGCATGCCACCAATTAGTAATAGAAACAAATGGTAAATTTAAAAACATGATATCTTTAGAAAGGAAATCCAATAAAAATTATATGGTTCAATATACGATACTGCAGTAGGGGGTCTGTGGTATCTAACCTTTTAATACAGAATTAATATATTTTTCGGTAGATCGGTTCCCTTCTGGGACCGATATAAATACCAATATAAGTATTAAATACAAATAAATGTGGTTTCTGGAACCCCCTACTCGCCGTAGAAACGCGAGGCCAGGAACATAGCACTAACAACCGTCCAAAAGTTCCTCAGTCGCTTTATCTATTCGATACCAACATTTTTTTATAAACGAAAATTCTCAGAAATTGGACATTTCCTCACTAAGTTCGTTAATTTAATGAGACAATAAAAACCTCATGAATACCCATATGCTTTCCACTTCAATTTTAAGATAATTTAATCACAGAATAGATAAAAAAAAGGTGGCCTAAAAAAAAATTGTTCCTCTTGGCGTGACAGTGGCTAAAGCATCTTGAATTTTGTAAATATGAACAGAGCAAGAAAAATGACATGAAAAGACTTGTCGAGGTACTATCCAATTCCTAAACAGTTCTTATTTTGAAGGTACGGAGGCCATATTCTTTTCAGACGCCTAAAAGAATTATCATAAATACGGTAGAAGTACGGTTGAAAACAAATGAGTTTCCGGATGAATCTGGATTGTATCTTAATAGCCAAGTCTATCTGGGTCAAGGCAAATCAGCGACAGAGAAAACTATCAGGTGTTCATGATTGATTTTATTGTAACAAAATATAGACCATTGTGTGTTTTACGAAGGATTTCGGATTGTAAGGATTAGATACGAGAGGAATTCGATAGTCTGTTGAAGTGAATTGTGAAAACGATGGTAGGTACGGCAATTTTTTTTCTGACCGAAAAAAACATATTTTTCAAGATTTTGATAATGATGATATTAGGTTGACAAATAAGAATTTTCTTGTTAAACTAATTTTGCAAATATTACTACCATGTTCCTTTTTTTATTTATATTTCAACCGTTTTCAGTACATTATTTTTAAAAATTGTTGCCCTTATTACTTTAAAGAAAATAAAAATCAATTCGAATTAACAATACAATAGTTAATTTCTCTGATATTTCCTCTACGATAATTTCGACAACCGGTAAAATTGGATTCTTGGAAAGGTGTACAAATCGGTTGTGTAAATAAATGCCTGATAAAGTGGGAATACAAACAGGAACAGAGCAAATAGCTTCATCGAAAGCCCTCCTATGTTCGACAAGGCTTGAGTTGACGTGCTTCCCGCCGCATATTTGCTCTAACATAAATACAAATTTATATAAAGTGACTATGATAAAAGTTTTTTTTTTAAACTCATTCGTGAATACTATGAAGAGACTTGTATAGTTTTAAAATAAAAATATTACAATGTTTTGGATCGAGCAATATTTTATTATGAGCAAACTACTCCAATGAAGCACTCTGTAAATATGCCTAATTTGTCCCCATCCTTAGTAAATCTGAGCGACAGTCGGTTATTTCTAAATTATATTGCTTTGTTACTACGAATAAATAGTAATAATTTATTAGTTCTTTATGGATAGTTGATATTGAAAATTAGTGTTGCCGAAATACGAGACCGTGACGAGTCTTGATCTTGCAAACTCAGTCTTGTTCATGGTCTTGATCTTTGGTAAGAATCTTAAAACGGTCTTGCAGTAACTTACTATACACATATTACAGTAATTTTTTTAGAAAGGAGAAACCTAACTGAGATCGAATGAAAAATTAGAGGAGTTAAGTGCAAAAGTGTATTGGTTATACCAATCATTAACATATAGTAAATAAGATTGTCAACAATTAGTAACTATTTTGCCTTAATTTTTATGAATAAAATCGATCTTTTTTACCAGGCCTGGTCTTGGTCCTGCTACTGTTTGGGACTTTGCAAGACCAAGACCAATTTTGGGCAACACTACTCAGAACCGCACCACTGGTACTAAAGCCAGCGGAAATTGATCGAGAGCGCTTTAGCCACATACACTCATGTCTTGAGTGGAGAATCTGACCATTAATAGAATTCCATTAAATAAAATCTACAAAAGGTTGCAGAACCAGTGCCTTTTTAACCTTCTTGGAGAATTATAAGAATGGGTGGTGCCTTGATATATGATATAGATTGTGCAAGAGGATTTGGATGATAAGTAAAGCTCTGGTAAAAATAAAAGAGAATTTTTGTGGTCGATCTTTTTTACCGTCCTAGTCTTGGTCCTGCAATTGTTAGGCGGTCTTTCACTTTGCAAGACCAAGACCGATTTTGGGCAACACTATTGAAAATACATGAAAGAAAAATAAAGATAAATAAGAAGCATGAAAACAATAACAAGAATTTGCAATAATTCTCTTATGATGGATAGAATTTTTGGTGTAATTGGTTTTTAAATTTATTTTGTTTATTATGTATGTTAATTGTTCATTTACATTAATTATTAATATTACAAATAAAATTATTGTAATAGTTATTTATCTCCGAGCCAATTAGGAATTCGCTTGTCTGATCCTCAACCGCAATAAATAAAAAGAATCAGCCTTTTACACCTGTTCCCTTTGTTAGGCCGGTAATTCTCCTTTCTGTCGAGATATTCCCCAAACGAGAAGTAAGAGCCACTGTAATAAAGAAGCTTTTAGCTTGCCCATTAGGAAGGGAAAAGACGGTAATTTCTCCTTCGGTCTAAAAATGGCCCAGACGGAATAATAACCTCTCGTTTCGTTGCGAGGAATACATATTTCATATCCCGGCCTTCCGATTATGAGGTTCCGGTTGATAAGAAAACTGCGTGAAGTACTGGATTCTAATCTGTTATCTAACAGCGACTTAGACCTTCTCTAATATTATCCACCACAGCATAAAGTTAAGATGAAAAACGACTCGGGGTTTGTCGTTCGGAAAGATAAACAACTTGGATGTTTTAATTATTTATCTCTCCACACTCTAGTTTCCTTAAGAAGGTCGCCGGTTATTTATTTAAGGCCCGAAAACTAAGGCTTTCAAGCTTCTTCATATGAAACTAACTAGACGTATACTGTCCAATTTTTCTGTTTCATTTCAAATTTAGGAATAGAAAAACAGGATTGGGGACTAAAACTGCATTTGGACTGTTTTAGAAGAGTAGATTAAGAGTTTGATAGTGATAACACAACAATATGAATAAATCTAATAAATTTATGTTGATATCGCAGCAATATTAATTAGAATATATAAGTATTACATCGACATTTGTTATTAAAGTTGAGACTGGATTCAATTTGCGAAGTTCCCCGACATAGTCGCAAACAATGATTTTATTTTATATGTATATATAAATGATTGTATTCCATATTAAAAACTTTGATTTATCATTTCTTATAAGAAGCATTGAATAATATCAAATTCTTTGTCTAATAATGATTTTAATGGTAGTTCTCCTCCTTTTCGGGTTCAACTTACGACAACACACTACCAACCAACATATACATACTCTTTATTTTCGATTTCATAACAAGATATATGGACTCAAACTTATAAATGACACGAGCACGGTTAATATGGCCATCAGGAGGTCACTGAAAACGAATTGAATGAGACACCCCTTTTTCTTGATTAGAGAACTAAGATTAAGAAGATGTACAGCTGAATACTACCCTTCCTCAAGCCTGAAATGTCAGAAATAAATTTATCATCACATTTGCAGATTATAACTAACATCTGTCCATGGTGCAAGTAAATATATGAAGATAAAAAAAAATATTTTGAACTATCTTTTCCCGGCTCAATATTGTGACTTAAGGTGGACAGAGACATTTATTTAAAATGAGCTAAATTACATTACAGCATTAACTCCTTGTTACCTTTGTGCTCAAGATTTATGTTAATGCTCAAGTGTTTTCCAATGATTATTAAGTAGTTTTACAATTCGTTAGCAGCTTAAAATATACCAAAGGTGCGTTTGAACATTCAAAGTACTATGGAAAATACCATTATCTAACTTAAAAACGACATTATTGCTAAAGTAAAGCGTTATTTTTTATTTTATTTTTTTGGTACCGTCTGCTGATGGAAAATATCAAAAGCAAGAAACATAAATACTAGCACATTGAAATAAACATTTATATATTTGTTTGTCTCTAAATGTATCTGAAAAAAATGTCTAATCGGACCTTGAGAGGTTCAAAGATTCCAACCCTCCATATTGATGAGGTTAAGAACAGTGAGGAGATGTTGGGAGGAGTGGAAAGATTAAGGTAGCCAGTCCAGGCTGATAAGACCCTCCTGGAAGACAGCTGTCCAATCAAAGCCGACTGGATGATTCTCGATTCAGATCCTTCACAATCAAGAAATTGCGAAAAATCAAATAACTGGTTGATTTATATTTCCCCTTAAGTATTTTAAAGTAAAGGGCTTTGAATCTAGTATACATAATCAACAATAGTCTATTTAATAAATATTTTTCATTTCTGGCACGATGACTAGGAATAGGTCAGAATTCCTTGAACTAAAAAATTAAAACTTAATACGAAAGTAATAAATATCATTCTATAAATAGGCAAAGCCCAAACAGTCCAGTCCCTTTTTCTTTTCTGTTTCTCAACCTATTTTCGTTTTTCTTTTTTGTTAAGTAGCTGTTGACGAGCTTTATTGTTATCAATAAATAACAATTGGAAATAGTGTATATAAATACAAATATAGATATTAGTTTGATCGAAACCGCTAATCTCCGAAAATTCTTCACTGACTGCTTTGAAAACGTTGCAATCAAATTAAGGAGCGTTTTATTTACAATTCATTATCATCCATCCTTTGGTTTCGAAGTGGCAGCCAAGGAACCTGAGTAACTTTAGACTATAGCACCGAAACAGCTGTAACAATTTTAATGAGACTTTGCTAAGGTAAGATAAACAGCTTGGATGTTTTAATTATTTATCTTTTCACACTCTAGTTTCATTAAGAAGGTTATTTATAAGAGGAGTTTATAAGAAGGAGTTTATAAGGTTATTTATAAGAAGTTATTTATTGAATCTAACCGGCATAAGTATCCTCACGATACATTCTCGTTGAATCCCTTTTAATCTACAAAACATACTGCCATGAAAAGAGGCTTAAAAAAAGTAACTATAATAACAATTATATTTGAAATGAAATTATTGCATTTAATGTAATTGCATTTGCAATTACGCAATTGATTGAATCACAGTATACCGAAGCATGTATATTATACATGCTTGCGGAAGTTTGAATATGAAGTAGGTGGTGCAATAGGAGTTGTTTGAAGGAATTTGTGGAGGAGGATAGGCGTAATTGGCGTAAGGGGTAGTTAAAGGGTTCCAAAAGGGGATAGCACGAATGATGAAGGATTTGCTATTTTAAGTAATGAAGGAAGTAGTTTTAAGGGAGGGAATATTATATTAGTTGAGATCTGGTATTGCAAAAGTGGATAAAGGAGCGTGAATAAGGAATATGTGCATTTAAAAGTTAATGTATGAATGTCAGAGTAGAAAAAAAATTTTAGTAACTCTAAAATTCATTTATCCTTCTCTTAAACTTTTAATATCACTTATTGTCAAATTTGTTTCCGATGTTCAAGATTTCTCCCTTTGGAAATCTCTCTAAATTGATTTAGGGGTTTGAAAATATGTATCTGAATTGAGATCTTTTTAGAAAAGTGCCTTTTGAAGTATTTCCTTGCCTAGATATTAATAATAATAAACTTATTTTTTTTTATTCATACACTTTAATACATATATCAATGTAGAATAAATAATTATTACTATATGAGGTGGATAACAATTTTTTTCCTGCGTTGTTACGCTAATTACTTCTGGGAAAAGAGTCATTGGTGTGGTTTCATTAGAGTAAAGGTTGTTTTGGAAACAAAGTTCACTCAGTTTCGTGAGAATATTTAGTATCTACTTAAACAAAGTTCTGGCCCATTCTAAACGGCTAAATAAGGGATCTGTATGTACAATGAACGCCTTGCATTTATTTCTCCTTAATACTCTTATCGTATTGGCTTTGTTTTTTATGTGTATCGTATTGACTCAGTTGTCAAAATGATTACGTGACGTATATATGAAGAGCAAAAGTAACTTTTAAATAATAACGACCCATCAAGGAAAGGACATCTTTACGCTGATGTTTCTTTGATTACAGGTTCTCGTCCAGTTATAGGGATCTTATCTTTATTTCTTGCAGAGCGTTCAGCTTTCTCATCACTTTAGAGGACTCAAAGGCTTGTAGAGATGACTGAATATCTATATTGAACAAAGTAAACCAAAGATTGCTCATCTCACATCAACAGATAAGACCAACTAGAATTAGTTTCAATTCCAAACAATTCAACTTGAAAAAATAAAAGTAACATTAGTGCAACTTTAAATGATATTTAAGTTACTTATCACCAATATCAGAAAAACTTAAAATGCCTTGGTATCATTGGAGTTTGTCTTTATTTATTTTTAAAAAAATTTCGGCTCTCGATGTCAGAATTTTTACAATCACATATATTTATGTTATATTCCATATTCTTTAAAAAAATATTTTTAAATACACGTTACATTAAAATATGCATACAATATACATACATATATAGACATTAATTATACCACACACAAACACACACACACACACACACACACACACACACACACACACACACACACACACACACACACACACACACACACACACACACACACACATATACATATAAAACCATACAATAAATTTTAAAAAGTTGTGCATTAAATTTGTTAACTGTCACTCAGGAATCCGCATACCATTACAGTGCTCGTTCAATCCATTTTTCAGACTTCGTTCAATGTATAAATTGTATCAGGCATTATAGATTGGTGTCTAAATTTACAATAAACTTTTGTACGGGCTGTTCCATCTGTAAGTTAGAAGATAGATTTAAAAAAATGTTTGAAAACTGTGGTGTAATAGATAATTGAGTGTTATAGTTCAGTCTGTTTTAATTAACCAGAATCAAGAATTTACTTATAACATCACTTACTGCGTTGTGTTTTTTAAACCTGACGATGCCTGAATTGGCGAAACGTTGATTGTTAGTTATATTAAGAGACTGCATTATTTTATTTATAAAGAGGCTTTATTTTGATACCTTCCACTTATTATTTTCTTTGTTTTGCCCGCAGGAAAACGAGAATGGTTATACGATCCACAGAGGAGGAGACTGGAGCGACGTTATCCTTCCTGCAATACCCAGCGAACAGTTTACCCAAAGCATGTTCTACCTGATCAAGAATCTCGAACCCGCGAGCCAATACGAAGCTAGAGTGCAGGCCAAGAACAGGTTTGGATGGAACGAGATGTCAGAAAACTTCTTCTTCACTACAAAAGGGGCTGGTAAGTATTGCATCTGTCACTAGCTCAATTTAAGCTCTTTTTCTTAGCTACAGTTTAGAGAGTAGTCCCTTGCGCATTAGGTGTACGACTCATAGACTGCTTAGGAACAATAGCCAAACTCATTCCTTTTATTCAAAAGATATTACATTCAAATTCTGCGATTATAAATTGCTAATATTACTGTTGAAACTTGAACTGGTTATGACCCCAAATAAATTATTATCAGAGTAAAATGCTAGAGGAATTTTCCATTCAAATAAGATACGAAGGCTTAAATAGAGATTACTAATTGTTAGTCGATATTGTAATGAAATCAATAATTATAATAATAAAAGGCTTAGCGAACCCGAAGGTTCGATGCCGACACCACCAATCGCTTATTACACACCTCCCTCCACCGTTCGCCGTCCAAATCCAGTCCCTTCAGATCGGCTTTAATGCAATCTTCCCACCTTCGCTTCGGTCTACCCCTCGGACGCTTACCATTCGGCACCGCACATATTAACCTTTTAGGAATTCTCTCGTTACTAAGCCCAACAACTTTACAAGCCCATTTGATTCGCCGCGATGAAATTACCTCAATTATATTACCCGGATACAACTCACGCAATTCGGCGTTGTGTAACCGTCTGAACTCTCCGGTTAACTCATCCTTCTTCGGTCCGAATATTCTACGCAATACTTTATTTTCAAAAACCTTAAGACGCTGCTCATCCCTTAATGTAAGCGGCTCAATAATTATTATAGTTAAACTAATTAACTAAATGAAAATATGTGTTTTTGTTACTTGGTTTCCTGATTCTTATAAGTAATATTATGTTATAGTAACATTTTGTTAAGGTCCTATTGTCCAAACGATTTAGTAACCGAGTGTAATAGAATTACACTGAAGGACTGGTAGAAGGGATCATTCGGAACTACTTACGGTACTACTCCTATAGCATAAATAGACTTTTTTAAATATGTTGCATCAACTATCACAATGAAGAGATTTTGCGGGTGTCCATTTATCTGATAACCTGATAAACTAGAAACCGGGGAAACTTTTAACCCTCGCATCAATCCCCAGCCCTCTCCCCTGACCTGTGAAAACGTCTGTATAGCCGAAAATGCGAGAAGAAAAAGAAAAAAAAATGTTTTTAATTAACCAAAGTGAACAGTTTTTTACTTTTATTTATTTATTTATTTTTTTGTTCTTCACTACCTCGGCTTATAGACTATACCGGATTTTACCGAGCCGGAAGGTGAGGGTGGAGAATTTAAAATCCCCTTCGGAACCGATTCGTGAACTCTTATTTTTTTTTTAATCTCATAACTTCGGATATCTGGTTGTCAGGCAACTCGCGGTTCTGTACACACGCGTTATCACATTCAGCCAGCCCGCCTTTTTTTGATTTTTTTAATTTTCTCTTTCCTTGCCTTTAAGGCAACAAGAGGATTTTTCGGGTCTGCAGAAGAGGGCGGGGAATTCAACCGAATTAAAATTTCCACCGGTACTGGGATTTAAACTTGTTACATTTTTCCATCTAAACTTGGTTATCAGGTTGCCGGACAACGCGCGTTACTGGGTCATGCGTTAGCTCATTCGGCCACGTCACCTGAAACTTTCATTCTGAAAATACGAAACCCCTTCAAAATGTGCCTTCATGAAAATTTTGATAAAACCCCCGTCTGAGCTATTTTGAGCTTTTGTTGACTACTAATTTATTTGTCGTTAATGGCAGCTCCTTCCGGAATTGGTTAAAACATATTATAATAGCAGTATAAAACTAATTCAACCTATTAGTATAAAGCCTAGATTTATGTATTTTTCATAAAAGGAATGAATATAGCTATACATCAGTAATACCTCACGAAAAGCACTTCATTTTTACCATTACAACCATTTGCATTGGCTATTAATGCAACATTCTTACAAACTTTGTTTTTAATCATCTAAAAAAGTATATATAAATAATTAGGATACATAGCACTACTTTTTGTATGCTGTAATATATAACCAATATTATAAAATGTTCTTTCTGAGATAACAGTTAATACCATTATTAATGAAAGTCGATAAACAAAAACATTATATTCTAAGTTCAGGAGCTTAACAGGCTTTATTTTCGAGCACTGCTGTAATCGGAAATTTATACTTTTCTATCAGCTGTTGGTCATTCCTCGGTTTGAATAAAATAAATTAATACCTAACCTCTTAAAAGGCTGGGGCAGGCAAAACCTGGCAGTTGAGCGTCATTATTAATTGCCTCCTTTTACAGCAGTTGGACAAGGAACAAACATTAGTTCTTTATAAGATACTAAACCTTTCATGAGTTGAAGTAGTAGAGTTTCTTCTTTACTTCTATCAAACAGGTTTAATATACTAGCATTTTCCGGACAATTCACTTGAAGAAAGTTTTTAAGCACAGATTGCCAAGTCCCATTCCTAAAATCGTTCTCTAGTTCAGAAAGTTTTGGCAAGTTCAGAATAAGTCGCTAGAAGTCACTCTCAATGGTTAAAGCTTTGGACACACCCTCTTGCTCAAGTCTCAATGTCGCCTTTGGTGTTTAAAATTGAATTTTAGTCAATTAAATTGATTAAAATATCTTGAGTTTGTTTTTAATATTGTATCATATAATCTTTAAACTTTGACGCTATAAACAGAAGCTCTTATAAATATAAAAGTTTTCAAAATTTATTTTAAGAAGTGCTATTCAAGAAGTATTAAATTTGTTAGTACTTGATTTAAAATATTATTTAATAAGTACTTGTAGCAGCATTTTATCCGTTATCAATATTATCATCGCATGATTTTTTATGTCATCCTTTACCTCGCTATTATATAATATACTCATTCATACAACTAATTTCAGACTATCTTTTATGTTACTAACAATTTCTCTTTTTTTATTTTATTTAAATAATATTTTATAATATATTTTTATTATTTTTTCGATTATCAACGCGACCAGCATTCGTTCTTTTTTATTAAGTTTAAATTATTATTATTATTATTGCTTGCTTTTGAATGTTATTTATTTGCTGTTAATCATGCACTTTTATTTATTTTTTTTAATAGCATTGCTCTTTTGGTAAATGTTGTCATTAAGATACTTAATAGAAACTAGAAGGCATGATGCCCTGCTCCAGTACCCTAGCATATGTTATACTGCTACGGCATGGGCTATTTATAAATTGTTATATGGGTTATCTGGTTTTGTATTTCTGACAGGAGGTAGTCTGCTGGTTCAATTTGTATAATTCATTTTTTTTTGTTGTACTGTACGCTTGAAGATTTTGTTGGATTTTGTAAGTGGTTCATCAACAAACTCATTTATGAGGAAAGTTCTGCTCTTTTCGGATTTCGGATCACAATCATTCATCCAGTTAGATTAACCTATTGACCTCCACTATTGTTACCTGGGGAGGAGGACATAGACGTAGTAAAACCTTTGATCACAAAACAGTACTTCCTTATCGAGTACTGAACCCTTTTATAAGAGGCAATGCTTCAAGTTTGTTTTTAGATATCTACGATCCCACAAATTTTTGTTGATTTTAGAACACTGTATACAGAAATTTCGATTAGTTGTGATATATAAATCTTAAATGATGTTCTTATTTTAAAATAAATAAATAACAAGATGGAGATATTTTTGCAAATTAAAAACGTTAAAATCTAAAATAGTTCGAAATGAAATTTTTTGTTTTATAAATTTGGAAATATTTTATTCAACTCCATTGACTGTAAAAACTTTTAGTAATGCACAATTAAAATTCTCTTTCATTCATAGCTTTTTTCTTGATGTTTCTTCAAAATGTGCTTTCTTTTCCCACCTCAGGAAGAAGATTATCTTCAAAATGATACCTTAATCATTAGATTTGATGAAGAATCTTACTGACAAACATCTTTTAGCACGGGCGGATCTGCGGGGAGGGATGGACTTTCGGGCTGAAGCCTTCTCGCCTCTCGCCCCCCCTCCCCCCAAATGGTAAAATATAACCATGTTTTTTGGAAAAATATATTTAAAAATTATCTCTTAAAGTATTATTGTTCGTGTAATTACATTTAAAAGGACTTAAGGAATCACTTAAACACAATATCATTTAGATAGCTAGTTTCTTTCTTTTTTTTCCAAAGTAATTATCGTCATTTTTATATTTAAAAAAAAAAAAAAAAAAAAAAAAAAATCCTTTCGGGCTAACTCACCCCCCAAAATTAAATCCTGGATCCACTAGTGCCTTTTAGTAAGATTCTTCATCAAATCTAATGATTGAGGTATCATTTTGAAGATGATCTTCCCCCTCAGGTGGGATAAATAAGCACATACTGAAGAAACATAAAAAAAAAGTGACAAACATAATACATTGTATAATAATTCAAGTAAAAAGCTGATTACTGAACTACTTCTTTATGTACAATGTTCAACCCCCTCTCTTCCACCATTCATTGGACAATGTTATACTGCTACACTAATCTTAGCCCTTCCAATATGTTCTAAGTGATAGCGCCTAAGTTTTCAGGGGAATTTCTTGCGATTTTTTTTAAAACAGTAGATGAAAAATATTTAATAACAATGATGCTACTCTATTGATAAATTTTTTAAGTATAGATTTCTCAAGAATATAATTTTTAAAAAGATTATTTGTTTCATTAATTTTATTGATAAACATTACTTACATATGCTCTTAGTATTCTCATGTGAGAATGTGATATACGAGCATGTTGGGGTGAGGATTTCAGGATGTAGGATTAACATTTTTAGGTTTGATTCTCTACCAGATTTGTTAATTTTTATTCCTCTTCAGCTCTGATGAATGAATCTTGACACTTCCACTCTTGTTAGTACATGGTTGCAACCTGATGTGTGTGTGTATATATATATACACACATATAAGGTATAAATTATTTATAAAATAGTAAATATTATGTCTTTTGCTTGCTGTCAGAAATAAATCTTAGAGACCCATTTAATAACTTTTTTTTTTCATTCTTAAATCTCAGTTTTTAAAAGTGAGACAGCATTTACCGAAATCTCTTGGTTGGATGTTCGTTTATGTAACCAGTAAATGTTTTTCTTAGGTGGCTATGAATCTCCTTCTCAACCCGCTGTTTTGTCAGGTTAGTTCCCGATCATCACTTCATCATCATCATTTATTCCATTACTATGTTATTCGCATGTAATTTTTTTTAAGAAGGCCTGCATGATATAATTTAACTCTATGTCGACCTTTTCTATGAATGAAACCCAGCTTCTTTAATTGTAAACAACTTTGCTAAATAATAATTATTTTTATATTTATATTTAAATGTCAGCAGTTCATGAAATGATAATTTGATCATTGTCAATGTTATTTTTATTTGAAATCATATTTATAGGAACAAGAAATATGAGAGTAGCTGTGAAATTGATTCTAAATCTTTTGTGGAATTATTGTTTTAGAAAATACTTATAAGATACCTTCTAAATAACAATCAGGAAATATCTTTTGAAAATTAACTTAAATAAAAAAAAAATTAGCTATGTTCTCAGATTTAATTTTAGTATCATTATTATTAAAAAAATATTGACATTATGTTTGATTCACATACACATTTAACCTTATGAAAATTTCTTTTTAATGACTGATAATTTATAAATTATATATATTTTAATGACTGATAATTTATAAATTATATATATATATATATATATATATATATATATATATATATATTTAAAAATATGCATTAATCATCACATACATCAAATTGTTTCATTAAATAATATGAAATTGCATAAGATTTTAATTATTCTTAATATGTAATGGTGATAGGGCCGTGTTATTAGGTTTAGTTGATTTATTTTATTCTTTTGTTTTTTAGCTGATCCTGATTTTCGAGATTTAGGAGTTAGGTCACTGAATGGAAGTAACAAATTCACATCTTCTGCTGTTCTGATTATCATCCTTGCGGTTTTTGAATTTATCAGGATGTAAAGCTTCAAGGAGGTAAATATAAACTTTGAAAAATTCAATTATTTAAGATGATAACAGTTTATTATAATGGTATGCATTGCTAATTGTTTGAATAGCATTTTATTATTTATTCCCATAGTTCTAAAGCATCATGCCATTCTTACTACAAAAAAGACACTGTTTTGAGTCCTACCTAGAAAGAATTTTATTAACTTGGGTACTCATACCTTCCAAGGTCGATCACGCTTGACCCTTTTCATGAAAAATTTCAGTGCTCTCTTCTTCTTAACCTTCTCATATAAACATCTTCCTACCACACGTTCTAGTAACACCAGTCATTCAGACTTGCATTGTTGCAGATTTGCATTGTTGAAGTTTTCGATTCCATTGAACTCAACTTCAAAAGTTAATCGAAGAACATTTAATCTATTAAAAAGCAATATCAATAATTTATAGATTTTTTCGTTGCACTTAATTTCATTTTAATGTTGCCGAAAAAAAATATACTAATATCATGATAAATTACAATAATAAAATGTATGAAGTCTCTTGAGGTGATGTTTAACTGTTTATGATCTACTAATACATGATTAATAAACAAGGATAAAAGGTAACCTAAAACCATTTATTTCATAATATACATTAAAATGCTATGCACTTGATATTATAATAATTTTAATAAGTTATTATCTAGTCAGCATTGATTTGGATCATCATATCACAGGTGTGGTAGTTTCTTTAGTCAGGATTAAATTTCAACGATTTTCGCCTATTCGTTATGGACAAAAAACAATTTTTATTGTTTGAAAATTCTGTAAAAAAAATAATAATAATAATAGTCAAAAGTAAGATACAAGAACAAATTAGGTACAAAATTAAGAAATTTTTTTTGTCTTAATAAGGAAACACAGAAGTACATTAATAATCATTGGATAAACAATGAAACCTAACAATGAAAAACATTGAATTTCAAATAAAAAATATTAATATCATTGTAAAAACAAAATTATTTGCAGAACTCTTTACATTTCACTGCATTGTCATTAGAAATTTTCAAAATGTATTTTTAACCAGTGTTCTTCTAGGTGGTAAAATACCAATTCTAAAATATTCATTATTCTTCATTAATATACAATATTCTGAGACTGGTTTAAATATAAAATTATTGGAACATTGTTTCCTGAACGATGTATAATCAACACCTCCAGAAACACTGGTCTCTCAAACCAGTCACTTATGAAATAAAAATAACTTTTCAGAAAATAGTGTGATGATTGACGTCATTTGAATTTGTATTCTTTGAATGTGATATTCACTAGCACATTAGTTCGCTGAAGCTTATGAGGAATTAGGAAATCTATCCAGCTATCTGTAGGATACTCATTTTCGTTATTGAGAGCTTTAAGGATCTCATGGTTCTATGTTGCAACCAGAAGGTTAAAAACAGTAAAAATAGAACTATAATTTTTTTTAATTTAAAATAGTTTACTTAAAATTACATACTTGCTGTGTTTTTTGCTCCATGTTTACTTTTGTTCTCTGATTGAAAGTTAAAAAAAAATATTCATAATCCTTTAAAATCGTGTCCTCATTAAAAATGTTAATAGCAGAACTTGTGTCTTACTAACAATATATTTTTTCTAAAAGTGTTCAATTCTGGCAACCCATTACAAAATGTTTTTCAAGAATATTTTTCTTTTCAGCTTTATGAAAAACAGGATTTAAAACATTATTTAGTGAAGCAAGGTGCTAATTTGAATTAATTAATAAAATCTATTTATAATTTAATAATGCCGTCACAAAAACTTGATATTTTATCATGTTATCCAATGTCAAGTTCAAAAGCAGACAAAAAAGAAGTTTTTTAGTACACTTAGCTCTAGAGCAACACACTGGGGTGTGATACACATCATAACATTTTAAATATTAATTTACATTCCTATAAATAGCTCTTTGGCCAAGGATATTCATGAACATAAACATCATTCATAGCGAGGCTAATTCTGGTCATTAGCACTCCATTGTTGGATTTATATCATTATTGGGAGTTGGCGAAAGTCATTGTGGGGTATCCACAAAGCAACACTTTGCTAGAATTTTTGTGAGTGACTGGTCACTTAAATGGCTCCCATTATATGTTTCATTATCTTTTAAGTACAAAAAAATTGTTTTCCTTTATAAAGTTTATATTTTACATTCCAAATACATGTATATTTAATTGATATAAACTTAATGCATTTTGAATGAAAAATATTGATCCTTATTGATGATTCCAAGTAGATGTTGACTTTTTAGTTTACATGAGTATATAAAATATATTCTCTAAAGTTACCTTGAATTTATTTGTTTATTTATTTTTTGTTTACCTGATCATTAAGCTCATTTCTGAAAAGTATTCGAATTTTCCAGAACATGACAATTAAATTGTATGATAATTTAAAGTTTAGAGTGTACCACACTCCAGAGTGTCAGAATGAGTTGACGTGATAGGGTTAATGAAATATTGATATATCTCTTCCTTGGAAAACAAAGTTCAGATTAAATTTGGATGAGCAATACAAAAGAAATCTTGACACATTATACATCAAATGGTCAATATCCTTCTGTTATTATTTAGCCTCAAAAGTTAATAATGGGAGGACGTGGATCCTTTGTTTATTAATAAATATTCTTCCTTGATCATTTTTTTTTGCTTTCAAGTTAAAGATATTTTCTTTTATACGTGTATGAATACTGTCGGCTTTAGGGCTGGGTAACCCAATCAGCTGCCTGTGAGAACTGACGTGGAAGGGAATGAGTGCCTTTCATTTATTTGGAATAAATAAATAAATTATGAAGTGTATGATAATAATCAATTTTAGCCTATTAATAAAGCAATTGAAACATTGAATAAAATAAAATTCAAATGTTACTTTGTATAAAGCAGCTTAAGAACTAAATTAAATTTTTTAGCGAGCGATGACATTGCCAAATGGCAGAGGCCGGCACTGTTAATGTACACAGTTTCTGTTATGCTAAAAATGTTTATTTGGATTTTATTTTTAGAATATAGTTTTTGTGTTTTTATATAAAATATTCACATATTTTAATGGTTTTACTTTTTTTTTTTTTAGAGTTTATTATGGAGCATGACAGATTCCTTCAATGTTTCCTGTTACATCAAGGTGCTCCACAACTAAGACTGAAGCTCAGATTCATATTGCTTTTCTCTTCTACAGAAAACAAACTATATTCTTCATGCAATCTTTATCTTTCTATAATTCACAAACTATCTATTGAAACTGTATATGTGTTTTAAACTTGTAAACAATTTCAAAAACTGGGTTTAAAATTGAATTGAGCGTTTTAAGAAGTATATAAATGTGAATAGGATGATACTAAAAAAAAAAAAAAACTTGCTTTATTTGACATATTGTTGGCTTAGATTTAGAAGTGTAGAACAGTTAAATGTTTTAGTCGGGACCTTCTCTACCAGTCAAGGACCCTATATTTTTGTTAATCCAAAAATATCTTGTAATTTCTTCTTATTTTATTTAATTTTTATTTTATTTACTTATTTAATTTACCTAATTTTAAGTGGAATGTGTGATTGTTGTAATAAGCTCTATGTAAATAGCATTTTCTTATGGTGAACACATTAGTCAAGTTTGCCGGTTAATTGTAGGTAATATTTAAGGATTTATGAGAAGATATTAATTTTATAAAAATTTGCAACATCTTCAAGTAGATTATTTACCTCCTTTGTTACGTTGCCTATTTTGTAAATTTACATTTGTATCGCCATGTTCATTTAAAAATCCTCAGTGATATTAGATTACTAATTTTCTGACATTTTTACAACTCAAAGATGACAAATTATTCTCTGGTATGGATTATTTTCCATTGAACTAGAGGAAGAAAATAGATAATTTCTTTATACCTACCTCCTTGTATCTGTAATGTATTCACTTCACTAGGTATACACAAGCCCAAGAAAAAGTATATTCTTCAATCCGGATCCAATATTATAAAATTAATTTAATTGTAAACTCTAACTAAACATGGGTAATGATTAAAATTTTAATATCAATGTGATTCATAATATACAGCTGCTAGGTATTCCATTATATATAGCAGTTTATGTCATAATTTATAATGTTTAAGTGTAAATAAGTAATTTTATATCCACCATTATACCTTAAGAATTATATAGAGATAAAAAAAAAACCAAAAACTATATTTTTAAGAGAAAAATATGTTTTAACAACCCTAATATTAAATATTTTAAAAATTTATTTGCCCCTATTTCTCATAAAAATAAATAGGATGACACTGTGTATAGGATTCAGATATTTTATGCTTTGTGTGTTCTTCTAAAAAAAAAAAAAATACTATGCAAGCCGAGCTTCAGATCTGTCTTAAGTTTTGATGTCTATTTGATAAATGTCATATGTGTTAAGTAAATCGTTAAGTACAACATCAGATGTGGTTAATAGTAAATATTGTCCATCTGATTCATTAAATGTACATTTATTTATTTGTGATTTATTTTGTAAATGTATGAAGAATAATAAAGTACATGTCTATTAGATTTTTCATTATTGCTTCTTCAAACCATATTCTGATTTCTAGTGCCTCTAATTAATCTTTAAATGAAAAGTAGATATTTCTATGGGGACACGAATGAGCTTTAAAGAGTTTTCAAATGATTTTGATCCTTTTCCTTCATATTTATGTCTAGTCTATTCCAAAGAATAGGATATAATTTGGTAGGATAAGTCACATTTTAAAGGACTCTGACATGATAACACTTACTTAATGGCGCTACAGCCCTAGTTGGACTTTGGCCTCACTTAAAATTGGTAGCTATTCCTGACTTTCTTCTGCCTTTCTTCGCCATCCTCTTACTCCTATCCATCGTAAATCTTCCTCTGTGTCATCCAACCACCTCAGCCTTGGTCTTCGAGCTAGTCTCCTTCCTCCTGGCCTGCCATTCATTATATTTTTGATAGCCACTCATCGGGCATCCTTTGAACATGGCTCAGCCATTGCAAAGTTCCTTCTTTGATGAATGCCCCAATATTAGGCTCATCAAAAAGCTGTTTGAGCTCTCTGTTTTTCCTTACTTTCCAATGGCCATCTTTGTTTACTGGGCCAAACATGTTTTGGAGGATCTTTCTCTTCTAAACCCTCAGAATTGTCTCACTCTCCTTGGTCATCACCCAGAAATCACTTCCATATGTCACCAGCTGTCTTATTATTGTCTTTTATATGATTATTTTTGTCTTTCTAGAGCTGGGTATGCCTGCAATAGATATTTCCTCCTGGGTTGATTCTAACTGCTCTTATTGCCTTTTCAAGAGCCAGATTAAATACTATGAGTGACAGTGGGTCTTTTGGGAGACTCCTAGGGACCTGATATCCCTTGTCACCCTTTCCCTGTTTACTGAGTCATTTGCCGAACGTGGTGATCTATAAATCTATAAAAATGTGGTGCAGGCTAACATTCTGTTCATGGCTCTTTTCCAATAGCTGTCTTAATGTGAAGATGTGGATCTTTCTTGTCTAAAATCACACTGGTAATCACCAATAGCCCCCTTAGACCATCTTAAAAGCCACAGACAACAGAAGCGCTATCCCACGATAGTTGTCGCATACCATCCTGTTGCTTTTCCCATTAAACTCGGCAGACTATGACTTTGCTCCACTCTTTCGGCATACTTTCCTGAGTCCAAATATCCCATATCAATTGATATATTTGGCTTATCACTGCCTGTTCTCCATATTTCAGGAATTCTGCCAGTAACTCGTCAGTTCCTGGGGCCTTATAGTTCTTTAGTGAAGAAATGATTTTGGGTATTTCCTCGTGACTTGGTGGTACATCCTATTCATCATTATCCTTTTGCACCTTATTGCATTCGTCCTGCTGCCCTTCTGTGGCACTACTAACTTATGTCCTATTTAAATTTAATAAATTCTGGAAATATCTTCCCCATCTTTCCTAGACTTCTTTACTATTTCCCAATACCATTTCTTTATCCTTTTAAAGTGTAGCCTTTGGTACATACCTAAGATATACCATCTTTGTATCTTTGAACCCCCTGGTAAAACTTTCTATTGGTCATTTTATCAAATTCTTTTTTATCTACTCTAGTTTCTATCTCTCCTCACCCTTTTTTTTCTCCTACATATTCTTCTTGTCTCTGCTTGTTTGTTTTTATAGCTCTCTGCTGATATTCTTGTTACTCTCTGTATCAATTTTATACTGGCATCGTTTCTTTTCTGCTGTCTAGTTCCAAGAAAAAGAAGAAGAAGAAGAAAGAGTTGCCACACTCTTCACTATATCTCTAAAAGTACTTGACTTCATTTCAGGATTCCATCTAGAACTCTCTCTAGAGTACCATCAAATTCATCCTTCTCTTCCTATGATTTATCTTCTGTCAGCGCATGTACGCTCACCATAAACATGTTAACCATTCTACATTTTAGTCTAATCCTACATATTCTGTCATTAACAGTCTCATAATCTATCGCTGCTTCTTTGAGAGTGTTTTATACCATGAAACCAGTCTCCAACAGATTACATTTACTGCCACTATTGAAGAGAGTATAGTAATTCAGAGTCACTATATTCACATCTTTCCCCCTTATTTCCTACAATATCCATTTTATATTTCAAGAGTTCCTCTTCAAACATCTTTCTCATTTCTTATGTTCCATGTTCCGATCTATATAAGTCCATTTCCAAGCTTGGATCTTAAATCAGTCCGGCTATTTTTTCTTTGTGTGTTTATAACAACAGGCTTTTTATGAGACCGAGTTGTCAGCCCAGCGCCCAACCCACAACCTGCAGGACCAGAATTTACTGACAGGATTTACTCCCTTAGTCTCTAAACTTTCGTTCTAATCCATAAGATGATGGATGGTTATGAAAATAAGGAATACAGGAAAAGGATAGGAAAGACTGTGTAGGATAGTAAGGATAGTAAGGAATGTGTAGGATGAAGGTATGAGGTCAATGAACAGTTATCCCTTTAGTCGCCTTTTACGACTGCGCTAAATACTGTGGGTCTACTGAACTCCGAAACCCATAGAGGATTCTGACATGATAGTAAATTCTTGAAAAGTCAAATGACGTGTAGGAATTTTCTTTGGCTTATTTCAAGTGCATATATTTCATAATATCAAAATTATAGCTTCTTGATTCCCATGATGATTGTTTCAATCAGTTTTACTATATTACTGTTATTATTTCAAATATTTTGTTAGGCGTTGCCTAAGCAGTTAAAGAAGGCCGTATATGTTAGTGTTATTAGACCAGTGGTGACATATGGAAATGAGACAGAGTTCCTTACCAGGAAATCAGAAAAAGTGCTCAATATTGTCAACTGCATCAAGAAGAGTAGAATTAGATGGTTAACGAATTTACAGAAGACGGAAAGCGGCATATCCCGAAGAACCTTCTGGAACAATACCCTGGTGGAGGACGAAGTAGAGGGCCTCCCAGATTGCGGGGACTGGAAGATGTGGACTAAGACTTAAGGACACTTGGAGTCCGAAGGTGGAGAAGAGTGGCTTTGACAGGGACGAATTCGGAGAATTGTGGAGGAGGTCAGGGTTCTGCAAGAGTCATAGTGCGATCGACAGAAAGAAATAAGAAGTTCAAATATTTACTAAATAATTAAGTAAAGATGGTCAAATTTATTTGGTACTCACTCATAGATAAAAGAGCAACCTGCAATGCCATCAGATAAAGTCATTTGAATTATGGATGTTATTGTCGTGGTTGTCATTAGATAAAATGACTGCAAAAATCAGAATTATAATTTCGTCCCCTGAAGAATAGGATGATTAATTATTCATATTTCAAACTCTCGTACTAAACTAAAGAGAAAAAATGGATATAAGGTGAAAGTGGCACGTGCATCTTTGGTGTGAAACCTCTCTCAAGATGCAAGAGGGCACATGCATCCTGCAACCAGGATAAATACATCTTGCGTATTGCATATTCATTGTGAAAGGCACCCAAGAGAAAATCATTTGCCATTGTTAAAGAGGACTTTTGAGCGAACTAACCTTGGTTCAGTTATTTAAAAATAATCATGAATTATCTTCGATTTTTTTGTTTATCATCCTTCGACTGTATTAAAGGTTTACCACGTTTAGAAAAACTTTCTCGTTTAATTAAAGCTTTAAGTCCCTATTAATAAGGTTGAGATTTATAACGAAATACGTGATAACCTCTCACCAAAAAGCAGCCATGTTTTCAGCAAAAATGACTACTACAAATTCTTGCAAAGCTTTAATTTCTTTTTTTTTTCTATTGAGAATATATTTACTACATAAATAAACATTTTATCTACAATCAAAAAATCTTTAAAATAATGATTTTACCCGTCCAAGCGAAGCGACAGGCACTAGCGGATCCAGCAGAAGGGCGCGGGTGGTGCGCCCCCCCCCCCTCCCCGGAGAGCTAGAAAAAAATTCCAAAAAAGATTTTAAAAAACAGCTATTTAAAGAAAATGGAAATATAGGGGAAATTCATCCTCATATCCTAATGTAATCTAAAAAAAAATATTATCGTGCCCAACACTAGGGAACTCTGTCAGGGGGTGCGCCCATGGATGGGGGAAGAAATTCCGAAAAAAAAATGACAAATACATCTATTTAAAGAAAAGAGTAATTTAGGGAAAATTCATTGTCATGGACGAATTTTCTGATGTAATATAAAAAAAAAAAATCTATCGTGACCAGCCTCTGGCGCGCCATCTCTTAGATTGTGGCAAAAATTTCGAAAAAAAGTGACAAAAACACCTATTTTAAGAAAAGAGAAATAAAGGGAAAATTCATTACCATTCACGAATTTCCTAATGTAATGGACCAGCACTAGCGAATTCTGCGAGGGGACACCCCCTTCCTTGGATGGTGGAAAAAAAAAACGCGTATTTAATGAAAAGAGAAATATAGGAAAAATTCATCCTCTAAGACGAATTTTCAGTAATACAAAAAAATTATTATCATGACCAGTACTAGCGGTTCCAGCCAGGGGCGAACCCCTCTCTCCTCTGGATGGTTGGGGAAAAGTTCCAAAAAACAGCTATTTAAAGAAAAAAGAAATATAGGGAAAATCATCCTAAAAGACGAATTTTGTAATGTGATCCATAACTGGATCTTGTCTGCCTCAAGAGTTTTCCACCATGTTTTCCTGCCCTGAGCAGCCTCCACCAGTTCCTGATTCCCTGGATACTGGCATCAGCACTTAATCCATTTTCCATCTCAGTTTCGGTCTGTCCACTTTTCTTTTTCCAACCGGCTCCATGCACAGCAGCTTCTTTGGGATTGAGGTCTCGTCCATCCGACGAGGGACAACTTGGCCCTTCGATCTCAGCTTTGCTATTGATAGTTCATGGTTGCGTCTAATTCTCCTTTCACTATTCTCCTTACTGTACTCACAGTACTATTCACTATACTGGGCCACATATCTTCCGAAGGACCTTCCATTCAAAAACTGATATTTTAAGCATTTTATTTAATGAAAATAGAAATATAGGAAAAATTCATCCTCATAGACGAATTTTCTAATGTGATATATAAAAAATATTATCGTGACAAGCACTAACGAATTCTGTAAGGGGGCGACCCTCCCTCTGGATGATGGACAAAATTTCTAAAAAGTTCCAAAAAGCAGCTATTCAAAGAAAAGAGTGATGTAGTTTTTGGGCTGCCATGAGATGTGAAGGCTTGTGCTCCTGTCGCAGTTTGTTCCTATAGACTCCGAACTGAAATATATTTCGCAGATGAAATACATGATGGAGGAAAATTTATTTTATAAAATATGATCTTCATTTATTCTTTCGAACGACCTTTTATTCGCGCCCAAGAAAATTCGTGTTTTCTCCCGGACCCAGTTTTTATTCAGTTCCAATAGATGAATTGCAACCATAGTCTCCTTGAAGAATCCATGCGATTCATAATACTGGTCACTATAATAATTTGTACGTATAAGATACAAAAACTTAATGCAAGGTTGTACATTCTGAAATCCGACAATATTTTCAGAAAAAGCGTCCTCGACAATTTAATATGGAATAAATATGAAATATTTTAATAAGCCGATAATTTATTGATTTACGTTAATATTGGTAATATTTTAAAAAACTATTACCCCCATAACATAAGAATGGACATAAATGTTGAAGAAATATAAAATATTATGATCCTGTAATTCGTCAATTGAAGTACTCGATTACATTCAATTGTCGCCAATATTCTTTTCTGTAGTTAAGAGAGGTTTCGATTCCAAGCTGGGGACGCGTACCTCAGGATACCCAATACTACTCTATTATAAATAGTCATCGTTGCCGGGTATCTGAGGCCCCAGAATATGACTTAGGCCATTGAGGTATTCAAGGTGAGGGAAGATGAGGGCAGATGAGAGCAGGACTACTGCTTGGAAATTTCAACGATCAGGAATTATATATGTGGGTGATCGGATGGAGGAAAGAAGTGGAGTCCGGGTCTTTCGTGATTATACAAAGCTAGACCTCCGCCAGTCCAACTAGTCCAATCATGGCGGATTAGTGTGTAGTTCGGAAGGGAAACAGATGAGGAAGGGATGTAAGGATTGTTCCAAGTTTCACAAATTGCAATTATATAGTAAAAATATTGAGTAAAGTATTCTAGAAATTCATCGTAATGGCCTGAGAGGGTTTGAGAATTGGCGCAAAAGGTAGACATGATCAGGATTCAGAAAAGTAAGGTCAGTATTTGATAGGAAGACGCTGTACCAGATATGATACATTATATAAAATAAAGTAAAAATTGAAATATAATAAAAAGCAGATTAAAGAGAAAAAACATTTGAAAGTAATGATTAATAGAAATAAATGAATTAGTAGAAAAGTTGCATTAGTAACATAACATAGAATCCAGATTTTCAATGTGTTCTTTAAACTATGCCAAATTTTTTATAGATATTGAGAAGTAAACAGAGATCGAAGATTCAGCCGAGGACATCTGGTCTTATTGACTTTGGTCGATAAAGAGAACCAACGGTTTCTTACATAACCCTATTAAAGACACCATTATTGAAGGAATTAAAAGAAAATATCCATACTTGTTATAATGATAAAAAGTAATAAAAGGAGTATGGCACAGTACTTTCTGTAATCGAATATAACACCGCGAATACTTTTTGTACTTCACTTGCGTGAGTAATCTCAGTACTCGCCAAGATAGGGCCTAGTACAGGAACTACTTTTTCCTAATAAAAGTAATTAAACTTAGAATACTAGTGCGATACAGGTATGATATACCATACCTGCATTACTCAATATGCGTTCTGTATTGTTGCTTGCACGTTGGAATTGGAAAACCCTGTTTAAAATTGGTAGGTAAGAGGGGATATTTTAATTTATTTATTAAATCTTTATTTGTTTTGATAGAAGAACCCCATAAAAATTAATCCCCATATGTTATTCCGGTAAGTATAAATACGAATATTATTTATTTGTATAACGTTTACCTTGCTTTTAAAACAGTACTTCTACACTAAGTATTGATTGGTTCCAAAAACATGAATGGATTTTGGTGGAAATATTTAAACAATTCATTTTTTATATACGCTAATCCTAAAAATGAATCGTTTTAATTTAAAGTAATAAAATAAGTAGTGAGGTGATTCATTTATTCAACATTTGTTTTCTTAGCATATTTCACCCTCAAACTGACCACCTTATGAAGATTAAAATCATAATTTATATGTGCTGGTATATAAAGATCGATGGGGTGTGGTAACGGTTAACAGTAAGAGTTAAAGGCCTTCCGAAATTCTATTTAAGGACACGATGAATACGTTATTCCGAATGCTCTTTGACAAACTGTCTCGTTTCCATTCAATCAGAATCAACCCCCTTTCCTCATTCTCGCCTTCTTCCCTGAGACACACTCCTTCTGATCGTATCTGCTCCTTTCACGGACACGGGAAAGCGGAAAATAAAAGAGGATCGAAATCTCATCCGCAATCAAGAGGACATTCATATTCCACAAAGCTTTGGTTATGGAGGTAGTATATACTGCCCTCGACGCCACGCCTATCGTATAAATTATTGAGCAATTGCCGCGTATTGGAATAAACGAGCTCTTTTTCAACCTTTTATTTATCTTCCATTCGTTATCATTTAGACATGTAAATATCAATTATAAAATTTATTATTATTTTATATTTAGAGTCTATATTGTTTTTTGATTTAAAAAAAAAATCTTGTGTGCGCAACACACAACTTTAACTTACCGCTTTACTTTGAATAGAAATTATTTTCCGGCAATTTCGAGCTGTTATAAAATTGTTGAAGTGCATTGTAAACGGAGCTAAAGCTTAAAGCTTACAAATAACAAACCATTAAGACCATTAAAATTACAAAATCTTTATTTATTACATTGCCGGTAGACATTAAAAATCTAGTTACTCCATTAAACCACATAACTTCAGTCTCTGAACATTTTTTAATAATGTCGTTTTGGTGATATTTCTGGTTGGGAAA